GAAAGAGGTCTGTGGGCAGAGATAATTTTTCCCCTGAATCCCCAGACTGAACTAAGCAGAGCTGTAATTCAGATCAAGTTTGTGTTTAGGTCAAGGCTCTTGGAAGGGTGATGAAGTGATGAGAGAGTGTGTAAATAAGGTAGTTACTTCACCAGTTTTTCAAATCTTTCGCCTGATTTTTGGCTGTTGCTTCCCCAAATGCTTTCTTAACCCAAACAATCATACATGGCTGGAGATGCCATCTCATTCTCAGGGCTTCGTATAATGCTTCCAAAATTTCTAATGTGGAAGTGGTTAGTCCCCAAGTTTGCTCTTTTGCTATGCTGGCTACCCAGCTGGTCCCCAGAGACATATGTCCTCAATGGAGCAATCTAGGAACTTAAAGGAAAAAAAGACGCCTGGAAAGCCTAGGCCATGTCCAGTGGTCCCTACAAGCAAATATTCTACAAATGTGTGTTCAACACTGATTTGGTCAAGATATGGATAAGCTTTTTTTTAAATCAATAAAACATATATTTAGAAACAGACTGACTTACTAAGTTACTTCCCCTAGCTGAAGAACAGGAAATTTTCCAAAAATGTTTTAATAATCAGTTCCCACTTTCCTGAAGTTCTCTACTCTCTTAAGTTATGCTTGTTTGTAATTTTATGAACCAGAAAGCATTTTGAGAGGTATATGAAAGGGTGAGTAAAACAAAGTACTCATTCTCAAGAAACACCACCAGGCCACACGTGGATTGAGGAATTTCAGCTGGCCACTAGTACACATGGGCATCTCAAAACTACCCAAATTAGGTGGCTGATACTAATAAAGAGTGCTGTTTTCATTTCCTTTGAGGGCAGGGTCTACAGCAGTGAGACTAGAGCCAATATTCATTTCCTTAGCTGCAATAAGGAATGGATAGAAAAGCCAGAGTTAAAGGACACCACTTTCCAATTCACTCCAGGAACATGCTGGAGTTAATTTGTCTTTACCAGTGTTATTTCAGCATCCTTTTAAAATCACCCCTCTTCCCTCCATCTCCTCCCATGTCTGCCCACTGGCCTGCCTCTTTAATCTGCCTCCAAAACACTGTTCCCACCTCATCCAGTCATACAGTTTCTTTTTAAAATATTCTTCCTTGGCTCACTAACTTGAAGTTGACAACTAACTCCTGAATAATTGAACTCCTTTCTTGGAATTGCCTCCACTTAAGACTTCTCTTACCTTCACTTCTGGGGATAGGAAGAAAGTAAAGGTGTTAGAGATTCATCAGGTAATTGGTTAAGGAGCACAATGACCTTTTTACCCCCTTCTTAACAACAAGGGCCCTTACTCAGATGTGTGGACATAATATAACTCTAGCCTGATCTAAATTCATCGCAATCCCCACTGGAGTGTGATGGTTTGACTGGGATGCTCTCCTTTAGTCAGTGGAGGATGGGAGTATGGAAAGAAGAGGTAAGACTGACTCATATTATAATTCTACAGTGACCAACTGCAACAGTATCAACTATGATTCAATTTAAAATTCCACGTTCTGCGAGTATTTTGGCAGTATTATTCTGGTACTAATTTGGAAATCTGTATCAAAACCTTAAGAATATCAATATTAGTCAAGAGTCTTAGCTGCTGAAAGACAGAAAGCCACCTCAAATTATTTTAAGTAAAAATAGGGATTTATTAGGTCAAGTAATTGGGAAAGTCCAGGAGAGCATCTTGCTTCTGGATCCAGGAACTCAAATGGTGTCATCATGAATCTCCCTCCTCTCTCTCTCAGCTCTGCTTTGCTCTCTATTGGCATTATTGTGGCAGAGATGGCCCTCGTCAGTTCCAATCTTAAATGGCCCTTGGTGTCCATAACTTCCAAAGAAAAGAGATGTTTCTATGGAAGCATCATGATAAGACTTGGAGAAATTCCCTCTTCTTGGCCCTGTGTGGATCCTGTGTCCGTTCCTGGGCCAGTCACTGTGTCTGGGGTGGTAGGAAACAGGGCATTCTGATTAATCTCAGCCATGTGACAATAAGGTAGGGGAGAAGCAATTCCTGAAAGGAAATGGGTAAGTGGAAAAAGAGGTCAGTTCTAGCACCTGAAAAAAGGAAGGAATTCTGGATGGGCAGAAAGAAAGGATATCTGTATTCAATATTTATCCTCTTCTAAGTATTTACTCTCAGGAAATAATCGGTGTGAAAGAGTTTAAAAGTTATTCATCACAGAATTCTTTACAATAATGCGGAACCACAAAGAACTGAAATGTTCAGTAATAAGGGGTGAGTTGAATAAAGTATGGTACAGGTACACAATGGTACACTATGCAGCCTTTGAAAAGTATATTGTAGAAGAAAACTCAATGACATAAAAAAGTGTTCATGGTATGTTGTTAATCATAACAACAGTATGCGGAGAATGGCTCCAATTTATACACACTTTTACACATATACATGTTATCTATATAAAACATAACATGCAAATGTTATGAAAGAATGAAAATATGTATTATGTTGATTAGTTTAGTTGGTGAAATTAGGAGTTTTAATCATTCTGGTACTTTTCTCTATTTTCTACAGTAAATATGCATTTTTTTAATTAAAAAACATTTCTGAAAAACTGAGTTCCTCACTACTAATTTAAAACTGATCATGCTATTTCTGTGAAAGAAGGAGCTGACATGGAGATCCTAATTATTTGTAAATAGCAAATTTTAGTTAGACTTTTAAGTAGTCTAATTAGGAGAATAAATTATTCACCAGTTTTCTAAGATTAACTAAGACCCAAATGTATTCTCCATTATATCACATTTCCATATTTTGAGGCTTTATTTGTATGGACACCACTAAATCTTTCAGAATTAATCAACCAGCCAGATCCATGCTCAAAGCACAGGGGAGACTAGGGTGCCTTCCTCAGCTTCACAATTACTCTTCAGAATATCTGGAGGAAGCGAATGCATTTCCTGCTCTAGAGATGGGGAATTTCTCTTGATTGCATTAGAAATATTCAGATTAGAGGAAATGCTTCAGCAAAGCCAAGAGCAATACACATCCTAAATGAACAAACCTACAGCTCCTAGACCGCTTACTCCCCTTGCTGCAGCTTTCCCTGGAGAACCCCTTTTTGAAGGAGACTTTGCACCATCAAAAGAGCCTCTATATCAGCCAACCTCAGGAAAGAGGATTTAATAATTGTTCTCTCCCCAGTTTACCAACCAAAAACACAAATAAGCCAAATCTTTATAATCCCAAAGGGAAGACCTTGATTATGCCAGTGGCTTTTCGAGAAGTACAAAATTAGGAGGAAGGACAAAAAGCAACTCTCACGTCCCCTTACTGCTATGGTTACCGTGCCCATCATTTCACTTGTAATCCAGCCCCATTTCTTGTTGAATCACCTAACACGAGAGGCAGCTTGATGCCATGGAAAGAAGGACTATGAGATGCTTTCTAATGAAGATGACGTTTCTATTTCTTGACACTCAGCCACCATGGGACACAACTACTTGTAGAAGTTTGTTCAATGAACAGTCTGCTTTTATCTGGCTAGACTGTTCTTGTCTCCTGAGTAGGAAACTTAAAAGTGTACCAGATACAACAGTCATCTACACAATATCCTTTCTTTTTCCCCAGTTAACATAACTACAAATGTCTTTGGGATGGCAATGTGCCCAGCTTAAAACCTACATTTTCCAGGGTGACGTATGTAGAGATGTGCTGCTCAGATCCCCTTGCTTTAGGAACAGACTTGTATTCACTTCAAGGAGTGTGGCTAATTGACCACCTCCATTTATTAGCTCCTGGTGATGTTCAAGCTCAGTCCATGCTCTCCTAGGGGCAGCCCCAGCCAAGATCAAGCAAGATGGTAGTAAAAGGCCTGGCCATTTCTACCGAACACAAGACTCCCCTAATGGGCAATCTTGGCTCTGGAGCTGCACATTGTCAGGTCTGTATCAGGCAATGATGGCTTCCTTCCTTGCCCAGTGTGGCTCCCCACTTCTTTCACAGGTGTTACTCCCCATTAAACATTTTGCACTCCTGTCTTCATCTCAGCAGGTACTTCCTGAAGAACACAACCAGCAACACCTGGATTCCTTTGTGGCTTTGGGCACAGTTCTGACCAGGGAGATGTAAGTAGAAGTTGTTAGATGGGATTCTAGAAAAGCTATTTCATTGGAAGTAGTCTCTACCGACATGCACCTTTTGCTCTTTGCATTTTCTCTTCCTTCTGTCTGGGATACAGATGCATTTTGAAGAGTGGTGCAGCCGTCTTGTGACAATGAGGTAACAAGTATAAGGTCTAAAACCACATGCCTAGGATTGAGGAGTAGAAACCTAGCAGGAGCCTGGAAGACACCATTAAGAGGTCATACCAGCCTTTGAATGCCCACCTCTAAGTTTCTAATTTTGTGCAAGAAAAGAACCCCTTATTTATTTAAGCCTTGATATGTCAGGTTTTACAGTGGAATGCAAATCTTGCTAATTCTCAGGACATAGGTAAATGTTCTTGGTATCATCTCTTGTACTTGGTTAAGCAAAACCAGCAAGTTACAGAGCAATATGCAGAGCATGGTCCCAATTAGCTACTCACGTGTATGTTTACATATATAGATATATACACACATACTTATATCTTTTATATATGCATTTTTACACATATTATACACATTTTATTTATGTAAGGCTAAAAGATGTAGTTAAGAAAACGGGGATGTTACCCATCTATCCAATCAAACAGGGCATTGAGAGTGACTTCCAGTTCATCTCCCTCTCTGTCTCCCACAATAATTTGACTTATGAGGACTAAAACAATCAGCATGTGGAATATTTTTCTGTGCAAGTTACCAATTGCATAATACACATACTGAGTTTCCTAGGAAACCGGAAAAAAACAAATACTGCCTGTAATTCAAGCCAATCACCTGTTCCCAGCAGAGAGGGAGAATTCCCCATTTCTACCTTGCCATCATCTGGGATTTCCCAATGAGAAGGTGAGACACCCATAAATTCAATCCAAAATATCCAGAACTGAGAAAACACTGGACTTTGGAGCTAACGAAACTATCCAAACTGAAGAGCCAGAGTCAGAAAACAAGGGCAAACATCCTCAGACAGTGGCAGAGATGAAAATTAGCTGCTGACAGGTGGGCTGCTCTCCTACACGTCTCCCCACAGGTAGGTCTTGAAATATCTGCTGACTCCCAGCAGATAAAACACCTTCAGAAATTTAATCAAGATATCTGTCAATATCATGTATTTGACAGGTCAAAGGAGAGCAAACTAGCAGATGATAGTTAAAACTTTTTAACTGAAGTATAGTTGGTATACAATATCAACTGGTTTCTCATGTATAACAAAAATTTGACAATTACATACCTTATACAATGCTCACCACAAGCATTGTTACCATCTGTCCCCATACAAAGTTACTACAATATTACTGACTATATTCTCTATGCTGTACTTTTCACCCCCATGACTTACAACTGGAAATTTGTACCTCTTTATTCCCTTCACCTATGTTGTCCTAAACTTTTTGAAAATAAACTTCTTAAACAATTGATAAAAAATGTACAAGAGATGATACTGGCAGTTCTCTACTTAAAAAAAATACATTGTTTAATGAGTTAATTAAATTATTATCAAAATAATACATGTGCAGTTAAAACAATCAAATAGTGAAAAAAGACTTATAACAAAAAACAGCCATTCCTGTTTCACCGTTCACCAATCCCCAATACCTGTCATGATGGGCAACTCTGCACTTTTTATCTATTTCTTTGGGCATATTTCTAAACAATATGCTTACATTGTTATTTATTGACTTACTAATTTTAGAAATCTATGGACTTCTAGTGAAAGATAAAGCTCTAATTCTACTTTTCCCCTTCTCACTCACTCAATAAAGTTAGGTCACAATTTGGGGATGAATCACTAGTATTATAACTATGCAATTGTTGTTTACTATCGATAAGTGTTTTTTGTTTTACACCCTTTTATTTTTCCTAGAGTTAACCACTGCCTCATTTTTTAATTTTCTTAATTTCCAATGTTCATAACCCTTAATTTTTTTTATCCATCTGCTGTACTTGTAGCAATGGTTATTTTCAAATACCAGCTGCATCACTTACTCAGTCAAATCCATTTTTTCTCTAAAGCCCTCCACTCTGGTCTCCCATCCACCTGCTCCAATATTAATTGGTTTTTAGGCACCAACTGACATCCAGGCACTTAATTTTGTCATTTTCTTGTGTTGGATCCTCTATTTCCTAGATCACACTTCTCAATTGTATTAAGTTGATGGCTTTATACATTTGACAAGTATCAGCACCTTTATTTTTATTTTTTTCTCATCTTTATCAAATAGTAAGGACAAGATGCAACTTAAAAATTCTGAGTTACACAAACTATTGTTTGGAGAAATAACAGTGTCATCAAGCTTACCAGCAGGTGAAAATGAAAACCTTATCCCACAGTCATATTTAGCATATGAAAAGCAAAGCGTTAGAGAGTAATGTACAAAAAAGTGCTGTCTGGGTTGTTTTAAGGGATCTGTGACATCTAGAGAGGTCACTCATCTGATGCCTCTTCAATCTAATATCTTGAAGATATTTGCTTAACTGTGTGTGTGAGAGAGCGAGCGAGCGAGAGAGAGAGAGAGAGAGAGAGAGAGAGAGGGAGTGATTGAAGAGATAAAGTGATTCTCTGCAAACCGAAATTGTATATTTTTCGTTACGTCTTTAACCCTTATACCAGCAGAATAAGGTGTAATGTTCATCATCGTCTCTTAAGTTCTCCCAAAACAAAACTCCATGTAACAATAAGCTAAGTGATTCAAGTAGATTTTCTCCTGGAAAATCCCACTGGGGAATAGTGCACAGCTTTTCACAAAAAAAAAAAAGAGAAGAAGAAGGGAGGGAGGGACTCCATTATTTTTAACTCCTCTGTCAAATCTCTATATTTAGCCTTAAAACCACTCTTTGTCCCTCCGGCAGTAGGCCTTCCTGGAGCTCTCCCCATCTTCCTCCCAAACTCTCTGTCTTGCCAAACACTTCCCCTCTGCCCAGCTTCTTGCTCCAAATTTGCATGACAACCATTTGTTGCTACTTTTTCCTGTCTTCCAAAATGCCAAAGGCTCTTAGACTGATCCTCTCATTAACTGAGATCCATTTCTCTTAGAAGTCAGTGAAGAATTCCAAATAATAAATAAATTTTCCTTTTACATGTTCAAATGCAAACTGGTGGATTTACTATACGCACTAAAATAAGAGGTGGGCTGATATCAGTTTCTTCAATTATATAAGGAGAGTCATGTTAAAATCTAGGTTTACCTGCACCAAATTTCCAGTGTTTGGGGGGCATACTTTGTGCCACTTACAGATTCATGCCTGTGTAGCTGACTGACTAATTTAACACTGAGAGTGAGTTAGCTGAAAGTGGCAGAAATGAAATCAAGGATCACATGGAGTCTTCCAGAGAAGGGAAAGTCAAAGAAAGCAGGGGCGGTGGGATTTGGGTATCTGGCAGCAGAGCAGCTGGTGTTTGGTTTTCTGGACTGTGAAGGACTGTCAGATTCTCAGGCTAGGGAATTAGGTAGAGACTAGATTATGGAGGGTCTTGGGGACGAACTGAGCAGCTTTTGGTTTTCTTCCATAAAGCAATGGTGGTGGATTCCAGTGGGAAGTCTAAGGCTTATCTTAGTACGTAGAAAACAGATATTTGAAAAAGGAAGAAAGAAGAAAGCAAGAGGAGAGAATGAAAGAAAAAAAGAAAGAAAAGAATCTTCAGAGTTTGACATATATCTATTTGGCCCTACATTCGACTCACTACTGGAATGCTTTCTTCAAATCCAGTTCTATATCCCTGAACTACCTACACTTCCTAGGTCATTATAGATTCACCTACAGTTGCAAAAAATAATACAGAGAGATTCCATAGATTCTTCACCCAGTTTCCCCTAATGATAACATCTTGCATAACTATAGTATAGTGTCACAGCCAGAAAACTGACATTGATACAATCCATCCAACCTTATTCAAATTTCACCAGTTTTACATGTACTCATTTGTATGTGTGTGTATGTATTTAGTTCTTGGCAGTTTAGACATGTATGACCACTACCACAGTCCAGATACAGAGCAGTTCCATCCCAAGCACCCCTCATGCCCTCCTCTTGTTGCCACATATGGCTCCTAACCACCCCTAACCCTAGCAACCGCTAATCTGTTCTCTCTATAATTTTCTCACTTTAATAACATTATATAAATGTAATCATACGGTGTTTAACCTTTTGATATTGGCCTTTTTCACTCAACCTGATTCTTTGTGATCTATCCAAGTTGTTGCATGTATGAATATTTATTTTTTCATGAGTTAGTAGTATTCCATGGTATGGCTGTACCATCGTTTATTAGGAATGAAGTTGCTATGAATATTTGTGTGTAGGTTTTTTGTGAATATACATTTTCACTTCTCTGAGGTGAGTGTTCAAAAGTGCAACTGCTAGGGCATATGGTAGTTGCATATTTTGTTTTTCAAGGAACTAGCAAATAGTTTTCCAGATTGGTGTCCCACTCTGGCATTTTACATTAAATGAATGTAGCTTCATTTTTAAAAACTCACTGTATTATCATTCCTGATTTCATTTAATTGTATACTAGTGAAAACCATGTGACAGTTCAACACAAGTTTGTGAGCTGGTTAGGTGCTAAGCAGCAGCACACCCCAAAACTTAACACAAAAGCCCTAGAGGTAAATGGTCTGAGTTCAGATCTCAGCTCTACCATCTCTGTGCCTTACTTTATCCATCTGTGAAATGGAGATAATTATAGTGCTTTCCTCACAGCACTGTGATGACACCACATTGGTAATACACAAAAGACGTTTAGAACACTGCCTGGCATTTAATAAGTCCTCATTAGCTGTACAAACATTGGTTGCAGCTTAGTTCTCTGACATGAGCAGTTGAGACATTTAACCTGTTCTTTCCCCATAAGCTAGGTGGGAACTCAGGTAGGGACAACAGAAGTCAGATGACCCTCAAGGTAGTGTTTAGTCAAAATTGATCTGATCCATGATCATATCCCTCCAGGATGGAGTCTTTGCCTTCCACCCCATTTTCCATAAGGATTAAATTTCCTTGTTCTGAATTCCAGCTTCCTTGACCAGGTCTTTGATGCCTGTTTCTAGACCTCTCTGATGCCAGTCACTTGCTCATATGGGTTTTTGCTCATTTTATGCAACTCTTATCCTTTCTTCTTCTCCACTGCTTCGGTAGAGATGATTGCCTTGACAATGGTTCTGACCTTTTGCTAACATGGAACATAAAGGGTTTGGGTTAGGATTGAGTTAATTACATAAAACAGAAAGCTGGAATAACTTGGGTAAAAAAAGAAATTTGTTTTTTCCTAATGTGAGGTAAGTCCAGGCTGTAGAGCTGCTCTGTGACGTCCTCGGCGCTCAGCTGTCTCACCTTTCTCAGTCTGTGATCCTGTCCACAGCGGTAGATTCCATCCTCAAAGCTGCCTCGTGATTACCAGAGAGCTGCTGTACATGAGCTTGGGCATTCCAGGCAGAAAGAAGGAAGGGAAGAGGAGAAGTGGGTGCCTGCCAGGTGAGTAAATCCCCTTTTAAGATTTCTTAGGTGCCCCACCCAACGACTCCCTCTGATATCTCACTGACTACCCTGATCTGTGGGAGAAGTTGGTAAATATACTTTGAAGGCTGTCAGATAAAATAGTGCACGGGATATGCTTATACTAAGAAGTTATTCACTGCTTATCTGAAAGACTAATTTAACCTGTCTTTGAGGAGAGTCCTGTGTTTTCCTTTGCTAAGCTGCCAACCTTAAAACGTTTATTTGGCTGGATATATTGACATACCCAGCATGAGGGTCAAATGGGAAGCTGAGCAGTCAATTAGCAGTCTCTGCTATGTTGAGCCTTCTGTTTTCTTCTATCGGCTGGTCTTTCAGTTTTTTTGTGTGTGGTTTTTTTTTTTCTTTGTATCATTAATCTACAATTACATGAAGAACATTATGTTTACTAGACTCCCCCCATCACCAACTCCCCCCAACAAACCCCACTACAATCATTGTCGATCAGCATAGTAAGATGCTGTAGAATCACTACTTGTCTTCTCTGTGTTGCACAGCCGTCCCCTT